AGTGCATGTGTGGTACACGGTGTCACAGGCACAAAAGATGTAGTATGAAAACATTTCAACGTAAGATATTCAAAATTTATGGACATAATATTTCACTGATACGAACTGGGATATGGGTGCAGTATTGGGGCTTGTTTTTCTTACAGGATAAATGTATTGCCTAAGCTGAAATCGGCAATATATATTCTTAGCAGAGTTGAAATACATTTCTCACTCATTGATCACTATCGCGTAATGCATTGCAGTTGACGGTTTGGTGAAACAAACAGATGCAACAAGTTGGCTTTTAGCTGTACGGAGTCTAAGCCCGAGTAGAGCCTCTGTCATGTTTGTGGCTGAATGCCAATAGAGTTTGCCTGCGGCTCGCGACAAAAAAAATTGCAACGTTAGCCGTTCTGGAACTGACAGGTCCCACTAGTTCTGTCCCTGGTGCTGAAATGTTATGCGGAAAGTACCGTTTGCAACTGTAAGATATTGCGACCAATAGCACGCTTGGTATTAACCAATCTAGAGTTAGTTATGCCTCACAAATTCTGATTGGTGAAACAGGACAAACACGTAGCTCTTTAGCAGCTATTAAATCAAACGTTTTCTCAAGTGTATACTATGTTAATTTTACTATTGGTCGCCATATTTGTGGTTTATGACCCGTGAATGACCTTTGTGACCCCTGTGACCTTTGGCTGACCTTGCTGCCGCCTGGCCGCCATCTTATCAGCGAATCGTCTGGAACTTTGTCAACAAATGTTTTACGGGGTGGCACCTTGAATAATTCATTCGGCCTGCAAGGGACAATTTTTCCAGCAGCTGACTATTCCTCAAAAACCAGATTAGCATCGCCGGGTGATGAGAGAGATAACACAGACCCACGTCATCGTTCTTACACTTTCAACATAGGAAAAATGAATACACGACATCCTTTGTAGCATTGTATAGATTTTCCATATTCTCACAAACAACACCAGTAACACCAGTATTATTACCAGTGTTCGCGTGTCAATTTTCTGTAGCAAACTCATTTCCGTAGTGTCCAAAGCAAGACATGGTGCGATTTATAATTTTGCTCTCCTGTCAAAGGCAAGGCGTCTTCAATTGAAAGTAGAATACGATAACTTTGTCGATTCAGAAACATGTTGGTCTGATTCACAGCGAATTGCTGGATTGGAAACCATCAGGCGTACAAATATATCTACAAACGAGCTTTTGTGTGCTTGCTTTGGGAGAAACCCGATAGCCACACCCGACCCATTGCCCCTATGGTTTGGCCTTCGACCTTCCCTGTCAGAAAATGATGTGTAATTTCCACTCCATTGGGTCCTGTTAGCTACACCCAACTCCCACCGTGCGCTGTGTATTCTGCAGTCGTGCCGTATCCTCTAGGGTAGCGGGCACTTAATCACGTCTGATCGACAAGCCGACAGAAAATGGATCGTCTGAACTTCAAGCCAGAACATGGCGCGTTAAACCGTCATTATATAGCTTTCAAACCAAACTTTCAACCTTAATAATTGTAATCATAAGACTGCTAAATTTCCATTAGTGCGTTACGGTTCAGTCTCTGTCTTTCTTCTGCATCCAGAGAAGATACTGCAGAATTCCAAGTAATACAGTCGGCGGTATGATGTGGTGATTAGTATGCAGATTGCAGAAGGAGGCTACGTCAAAGCTGACAGGTCCTGCAGCCGCGAAGATCCAATTTCTTCTCAACAAACTCCCATCAATCCCGGCTGTAGGTGTTTGACAATGATGAAAAACGCTACAACACCTACATCATCACATGAATCCATCACAAGGGAGGCGGCAGGCCGCGGACTTTCTACTTTCATATTCTGGAGGTGGTCGCTGCATGTATATTATTCCATACTTCTACTGCCATCTACAAAGAAAAAACAAGCATATTGCACTGCCCCAAAATATGGCGCTAACTATCTAATAAGGTATGAAGATAATATATGTTTTATATAGTCCTCTTTGGTTAGATTTCTCTCCATATCACATTTCGTGACCGATATTATCAAGTTCATCGCTTTGCGGTTTGACAAATGTTGTTCTGCATACTTGCGCAAATGTTTCTCAGTGTTAGTTCCGCCGTTGACAGAGTGTTGTACGCGGGGTAGCGTGCCGTCTGGTGTCCGCTTCCCACCTCGTAGTTTGTCGTAAATAACACGGGCTTGCCGTTTTTATTAGTGGGCAAAACGTTGGACGCAAACTGCGGGGATCGCGCTCACACAAAGACGCGTCATTGCTATTCTGCGGGTGGGATGAAAAGCCGGCTTGTCAGGAGGATCGAGGACGTGCGACTCAGGTGATGAAATCTTCCCTCTCGTGGGCTCGTGTGCTGACATGTTGATAATGAAGACGTCAGGTAGAGGATTTCTTTTGAAGTTCTGGCTGCAGCAGACGCAGGGTGACCTTGCTGTGTAAAGTAATGTAAATCAGAAGCCCCAGGCTATCATACAACGGTGTATCCGCAGTGTGCAACTCTATATGAATGCATTACCAGTAGCGTGCTTATTGCAATGTTCTATCTTGGGGCAAAGTATCCCCTTAGACCTACGTTAAAAGAAAAGCTATCAAAGGTAGTTTCCAAAACAATTTGACAACACCTAACCTTGCCAGGCGACGATTAAGAATGACTAACCAGCAGCATTATAGATTAATTATAAGCGGCAACAATTATCAGCAAAAATTTGCAACACAAAAATGTGAGGTATTACTTCTTGTACAAATTCATTTTTTAAATTCATAAGTTCCTCGACACATATCAAATCTTAATCCGACACGACAGAGAAGACTAGCAATTGAGACAAGAGCTCCTGTGACGGCATTAGTACATGTACGATACAGATCTACTAATCCTGATTCCACTCATCAAATATTAATCCTGCTAAGAAGTTGGCCTCTCGGCTGATTATAGCTAATGCCAGAAACTCAACCCTTATCAGAAAACATCATTTGCTCCGTTGTTTGCATATTTCATAAAAGAAAACTACACGTATTCTTCTTTTAGCTACCCAAAACCCAAAAATTTTGGAAAAGGTGGCACATTGCGTCTTCCATGGTTTACAGAAGAGAAGTCAAACTCTTTAGACATAGTTGTTTAGACAGAGCTATAGTTATAGTTTCAGACAATTACCTTGTGTTATTATGTAGATTTGTACTTTGATACTTTGTACTCAGCTTCAATGTTCTGTTATCTTTGTCATCTGCAAATTAGCCTTCGAGCAGGAATTTACAATAAACTTAGCAGTAAAATTCGTCCCTGAGTCGTTATGGACACATTTAGATATAAAAACGCTTTTTACAGTGTAGAGCAAAGATTGACCTTAGGTGACATTGTAAACTTGTTTAAGAGATCAAATATGATTATGTCAACATGATGTTTCTACGTCGTCAGTATTAATGACCAGATTGGCTGCATGACAAAACTGTGACATCTATTTATCAAAATTGTCGCTCGACGCCTTTCAGGGGAATTTCACGGAAGAACCTTCACTAATAAGATTCCCCTCGCAAATGGTAAAGTAATGATATCATTTCGTCCATGACAACTGTGCGCAGAGCTTTTCAATCATACCGCGTTACGCTGGCATCTGCTCCCACTCACCTGCCATATTGTGTTTCTTAGAGATGATAACAGCTTCTTTATACGTAAGTCATATACGAAAATACTTAGGAAAATGGTACATTTCAGTCTTCTCTTTTCTTATGTGGTTACCTTGCTACCAAGGCTTGCGTATAAAGTTGGTACCATTATCCAGCATATAAATATTGAATGATTTGTTAACAACTTATTTATATGGTGTGGCAAGGCGTATACGTAATTCCTTAATATGATACAACTTCAGTCTTCTCTTGCTTTTCTTTACTACCAGGACTTGCGTATGACTTGCATGTTGTCGGGTTCATGTTGTTTATCATGGAATTAGCTTTAGTAGTGTTTTAAATGTCAGAGATGTCTGGAAAACAAGCCGAGTATATTTGCCACGGATAAATTAATAAAAATGAAAATGAAGTGTACATCATTATGCAGCCTATCAATATTGAATTTTTACTATTTCCATTGGTATTCCGGAGGCGTCCGAGCCTCGTACGCCCTACCCGGAGATAACAAATTGATCTCGCTTCCACACTATCCGTGTGTTTGTTGACTTGTTGAAGGGGGTAAATGACGCAGAGAGGGTGCCGGGGTTTCCACTCCGGTTAGTCGGCATGCCGCTCATGTCTCTCCGCACCAGGCCACCGCTGGGTCAATCCGATCCAATGGCGATACGTTCGCTTTCAGAATTTTCCTCTTCTTCTTCCAACAACCCCGGGTCCCACACGGAGTGATTGTGATCTGTTTTACACCCAGAACACGTGTTGTCTGTCAAAAGACAGCCAGCGAGGAATACATCACACTTTAGTCAAGTTGAAAGAAGCCATCTAGCCTTCAGGCAATGAGCAGCTCTGACTAATAATGGCACTACAGCCGTGTTTCTTACGCGTTGTAATCAGATTAAGCAGTGGTTTTTGCATTGATCCGAACGAATTACAAAATGTGATCTCCCCCGCTGAAAGGTAATTGGTACGTAAAAATATATTACACCCCGGGACTGCGTCTCCGGCGTTATCTCTGCTAACAAAGTTCAGCAGCGTACGCTCAGGTTCAGCCTCACTTGGCGCGTCTAAGACAAACAAACGCAGAGACCAGCCGGGAGCGCTATTAGTTAAAGTCAGGCAAAGCCCCACGGAGCATTATCCTCCACGCTTTTGATGAGGTTGTCAGGGGCTTAGCCCGACTTTCTGCACTATCGCTGGGATAATCTACGCCCCTTAAGGCCGAGGTACAAGATATAACTGTAGGCTCAGCTGGGGTACAGCAAATCTCAGGAGCCAATTTGGCGAGAGACTTTGCAGAGCGGGGGCAATATTCTTCACAGGGCACACAGCTGTAAGTACATGGAATTGGAGGCGCTACTGGTTGGTGAGGAGGCCACCAGCGCATTACTACGCTTTATCCCCACGAGACTAAAAGAAACGCAGAATTGCTGATAGTGGACCTGGTGTTTCTGATTTATTGCTCGCAGACGTGTTCCGACCAGTTCAAGTACTGGTGGAGGTGCGGCCCCATTTGTCGGCGCTGACTAGGCCGTCATTAGCGAGTGTGGCACAGATCGTGTGTCATTGAAAGCATTGCCTGTCACTGGTCCGGGTGCATTTCGCTCGCCATAAATCACAACACGCTCACTCTGCAGCCGGCCAGCAAGCGCCTCGGCAGGTGCCGCGCACTTCTAACACAACCAGGCGGCTCTCGTTTCGCTGATTAGCACTCAACTCGTCAGTATTCCTCACGGAGCCCGCCACGGTGGAAGGAAGCAGCTCAAGGTTTCTCCATGGTTAGAGTCGTGAGGCAGCCTTACAGGGGCAGTTAACGGCCGTCAGTGACAGAGGCAATCGTTGTCACGCGCTCCGTACGCACTTCCTTCAAGCCTGCGCTTCTTCAACACGGATACAACACGGAGTTTGACAGCAGCGCAGAAGAAACAATGCTGGGCGGAATCAGCAGCATAACCAACAGCACAGACGTCAAGGATGTCAAGTCTCGAGTGTTCATCGGCAATCTCAACACGGTGAAGATCCCACGAGCCGAGGTGGAGAGCATTTTTGCTCGGTACGGAAGCATCAAGGGTTGCTCTATCCATAAGGGGTATGCCTTCGTGCAGTACACCAGCGAGGCTGATGCCAGGGCAGCAGTGGCCGGAGAGGACGGCAGACTGATAGTCGGACAGGCTCTTGGTGAGTTTGGTTGATCACATCTCCTCTGTCTCATTGACTAATGACATATCCTTCCTTTCACCGTAGTGAGTGTATTTCAGCACCAAGGTCAGCGTAGTTGTGTATGAATGCGAACAAAACGTACAGTTGAAAAGATATAAAACGTCGCCCAATAAAGCAATGACAACATTATACGAAAAACGTACTTTCTATTTGGCCCTCCCATTGGTATATAAACCACATCAAACTTTGACATAACTCGTATCTGAAATGTTTTGCACATTGAAGCACATTTCTTGGTGACGTCGTGCTTTTTACATTGCACAGAGAGATTCCCTTGTGAACGAGTTTATTTCTGCTAGCGTGGAGAGACATATGGTGCCATTGTGATATCATAAAAAATGACGGATGTTGAATCCTCGGTCATGGTGTATCTGTGTTCTTCACGGTTGAGCAGCGAGCGATAATTTGTTTGACACTTGCAGGCCATGGGGAGGTCTTGCATTAGCTTTTGACGGCAAAGCATTTTCTCCAAACAATACGAAAAAACAGATCAAAATGCACGTCACATTTCAATGCCATATAACAGTATATGAAAACTACATACAGCTTTCCTAACAAAATAATAATAAAAAATGTGTCCCAGCGCCCTTAATGTTCGTTTACTACCGATTGATGTACTGCTATGTAGCCGGTAGCTTCCCTTGGGTGTGAAAGCTACTCCAGTTACACTATCAAAACGATAATTAATCAAAACTTGAGCGACTTTCACCCGCCAACCGTTAGGAACACCATCTATCAGCGCGCTGTCAGAACGTCGGCTGTACCAGGTCATTAGTATGCCTGTCCAGGACGGCCCCCCGTTCTTCAGGTAATCCCTATTTAATCTAACAATACTTAGCAAAGCTTCTTGGGAACCGCACACGAACACTGAGTGTTTGGGGTCAGTATCTGCTACTGCTGTCCGCTGTCACCATGAATATCTTACGCCAAATGAAGGGTTTTCTATCGAGGCGCTGCATCTTCGTCGCTTCTGGCTCCCTTTTAAGCCGCCGTTTGAGGTCAGACAGTTCAACGTACAAACCCCCCAAAAAATGACGAAGCCTGATAAGTTGTGAAAAGATATTCTTCCACCGAAGCGGAGCCTCGGATATTCCCAAGTGAAGCCGACATCCATCGTTCTATGCGGCAATGCGAATTTGATGCATTGCCAACTGCCGGCGGTCTATTTGATTAACTCCGAACTCTGCAAGCCCGTCTGCGCTGAAGTCTCTATTGGAAGTGTGTTCCGTTTCTCGCCCTCCCGTACCTGGTTAGCCCAACCCTGGCACGCTGTGATTTTTATGAAACGTTTACCCTAATATAATCGTTCCACGCGCGGCTGGATGTTATGTTTGCCACCTTGCCCACCCTGATATTCTAGAGGCGTGCACTGCGATGACTGGTGATTAAATGAACGCTAAGAGACCGTAGTGCAGCCCCGAGGACAAATCAAATGCAGTGCGAGATGCATCTTCGATCCCGGCAAGAGACAATTATGAATGTGCATACGAGTGTCCCATTTATTAAGAGATGCACGCATATGTCGGCTTCAGAATGCAAGCAGATCATCAACTTGGTCCTTCAGGATTACTAGGAAACAAGCCATGCGGATGCATAGGACCGGTTTCACCCGTCTGTACAATTTATGCGGCGTTCCGCCTCCGGCATTTGCCCCAAATAGGCAGCGATTTCACGGTCCTGCCTGGCTAGTGTAAATCCTACACACTCAGGTCATCCCCCGTCCCATCATTTATAACCGTTCCCCTCATCTATTTTCTCTGTGGCCTTTTCCCGACATCCGGCCGCGCCACGTTTGTACAAATGTGGTCTTCCTCAATCTCATGCATCAATCCGGCAGGAATGATTCAGACTACATGTAGCGTGCCCTGGCGTTTATGGCATGATCACTTTTGAAAAATTCATCAGGTCGTAAAAAGACATCAAAGGACATTTAGGTTGCTGATGCGGATGAAATCATTTGAGTTATTACCTTAAAAGCATATGTTAATCGACGTAAGATGTTTACACTTTTATTCCGTTGTGTGAGGTTATGTTCAAGGTGTCTTTACATGCACACGGGGTAGAACGACTTTGTGAAACATCTGAGAGGATACAGAAGTTGATGTCTCGTCTAATCGTTTCAGCTTCTGCTGTGAGTTATTTGAACGTTTCGCTAAACCTATCATCTAATACATTGAACAGACAGCTCTGTGTGTATAGGCATATGTCTTCAGTACAAAAGAGCACAAACTCAAACCATGGACTATAATCTTGTGTGGCTGAAGCTTAATAGCTTGGTATTTTCGACCTGGAGTTCTCAGTAAGGATAGTTATTGACGACTTACTTGATGGATCTCCTAATCATTGGCTCCTGGCAACTTTGTAAATAAGCCTTCGATGGACATTTCTGTAGTGTAAAAGAAAAGTCGATGCCCGGTAACATGTGCTGTACTGTACATGAGCTTATACTCATTCTCATTCTCCCAGCTGGATCAATAGCAGCGTGGATAGATGAAGCTATCTAGATAGCACTTGGAATGCTTTACATGCCCATTACATGTTCATTACCTGCAGAGGTTTTCTGGCTTTATCAGTGGCACGATCTCGGCTGAACAACATCAGCCAACGGAATGAGTTGTTCGCAGAAACATCAACACCGTGAGGGAAAGTTTGACAAATATCACGAGGTTATGAAAATGTAACACCCAAAAATCGAGACTTCCTTCAACCCACGTCTACTTTGACTAATACATTTTGCATTTGGCGAGTTGTTAATCTCATTCTAGGCAAGAAATCTGTGTAGCCATCTTTGGCCTCTACCGTGCTTTATCTGAAATTGGTCGCTCAAGCAACAGAGTCCACATGGTAATGAACAAACCGGCGTTCTGTTCTCGCATACATGTCGAAGGGCGTTATTCAAACCATGTACCATCAACAGATCTTACTCCAAAATTAGCAGGCGACTATTCTGTTTAGTACCAGCGGACACCAAATGTTTACGTTGTCAAGCACACACCACTTCAGCCTATCACTTATCCTGTGCCCTGAACTTAAAGCTTCATTCAGTATCTCAAATATGTTTTGAAAAGAATGTTTATTCTATAGGTAGTTTCACCTTGTAGTAACCGTACCAAGCACGGGAAGACGACGTCATCGAGTGCTCACGAAAACCTTGAATGAAGACTTCTTGAAACCTCCTTGACCTTTTCTTTATAATTTGTGGGAAACAATCATCTTGCATGGGTTGTCACAAAATAACAGACAACAAGACGTTTTACGAAACCGTAGTTTTCAAAGTCTTCTTTTCACTCACTTATTAATTGTCAACGAATCCTTTTCTCCAGTGCAACAACCATCCTGGGGTTTTTAATAAACTGCTGGAAGCTTGTTTGTGGCAACTTCTCCAGAAATCGACTCACATTACTCCAGTCAATCGATATTTTGTAGAATTGCACATTCTGCTTGACCTGGTTTATACTCATATTCGTCTGGCTAATGGTTATTCAGTCGCGACTTAATATGTGTCTGTTCCTATCTCGCTGCAGCAACAAATGAGAACAATCTCAAATCTAGATTAATTCACGTTATTTGTAATACTCCGTGTTTGACAACAAATTAGTAATCTTTCTGACTCGCAAACACACAATAGATGAGTGTACGACAAGAACGCAGTAATCGTCAGGTAATCTAATGATGAATCACCTGACTTAGCCATAAATCTTTAAAACTAATGACTTTACTTAAGAACTTTGGAAGTATTCGTTAGAAACGCGGTTAAGGAAGGAGGCTAGGCTCTGTAATAAAATAAATCATCATAAAAACATTGTGTTTATCAACTTAATTCTACAGGCTCATACTGATATATATCTTTGTAATCACCGATTAGGTATAGAAATAATAAACAATAATAGTAGCAACAGTATAGTACAATTGTGCTGTATGCAGTGTGCGTTGTAGATGCAACAATACAACTGCATATATCAAAATAGTCAGTATAGAACATAGAATAAACACTGGTATAGAGAGAAACTTGATATTTGTGATAAATAGAAAACTTTTAGAAAATTTATTATCATCTCTTTTTCTAAGAATATTCACGATCAGTAAAGGTGAGTTTTTGAGAAACAGGTAAGGAGAAGTTGTATTCTGATCCCTCCTGCCGGCGGTATCTTTTAATTACGCACTTTGCCTAATCTTCGCTTCTATCGTCGGGTTGTCCTTAATGGCTTCGTCAGTAATTAGATTTTGTCTGGGAAAATGATTGCTCAGGGTAGCAAGCTGAGCATAAAATGGCACTTTGGCGGGAGAGGGTATTAGGACGGGAAATGATAGAAGGCATACGAACTACAGTCAATGGACAACCACGCTTCGGAGAATTGGAAAACGTTGACACCTAGAAACCTGCGCAAGTTGATATTATTCATTGGCAAATGTTTCATCATTTCAGAAGTACAAAGGCAAAGACTGTAAAAAAAAGAGAAAAAGAGATAACCAAACACTTATGGCCTTTTGACAGTCAATAGACCAAGAAAGATGCCCCATTACCTCCTTGAGCAGCCCTGATATGTAGAAAGAAAAAAGTTCTCACTACGACGAAAGATTTACCCTGAATAGCATCGGCGTGGAGTCCAGGGTATTTGTAGAGCACTTCCCTTGAGCTGGCCATTATAGATCCTCAATAACAAACGCTCTCGGCAAATCTACGTGAGTCAGCAATGAGTCCAAGTGGTTGACTATGAGGCTAGAGTGGTAAGGGATGCCATAATTTCTGGGTCATACTGGGTGGTATACAAAGGCCCATTAGTCTTTATTCCTGGCTACAGAGTTCGCCTTTTGTCATTCGTACCCACGCATTGGAGTCCTTTCGATCAGGTCTATATTACACCCAGGGGAAACATCATTGAACGTATTTTCCGTTCTCCGCTTCTCAATAACGGGTGGGGGTCTCCAAAGCCACTTGCGGAGCGAGTGAACAAAGG